AACAATGGTGGTGAAAATTATTATTATTACCGTTATTGGCGAATCGTTATACAAATAACCAACTGGTATAATTTCGTCCTCAAAATACTAGTATTTAAATAGATTTTTTGCATACCAGTCTACCATCTTCCCACAGGGGTCCCATGAATAATATACCTCTATGTATGTATTTATGTATTTAAGTATTAATGTATACATGTGTAATGAATGCTCCAATTCCATTACACAGTCGATATCCGAAACCCGAAAGGTCGACCAATGGCATTTGTCCACCGACGATCCGTCAAACTTGCTGAGATTAGCGACTTTGCATTGTTTGCAGTTGTTATTCGTACGAACATGTCTCCGTGGAGATTTCCAGCGTAGCAAACTCGTCGTGACGGATGAATATAAATAAATAAATATTATGTACGTGTATGTATGTGTATAATAATAATTTCATTTGCAAACAAGGAAACGTATTGTTTGTTTTGTTCGTGCTGTCATTATTGGTTGCCATTATGTGATGGAAAGGTGTTTTGTTTTATTCGACAGCGTGCGGCGATACCTTGCCGAGGTGTTATCGATGAATAGATAAGCACATATCAATTTAAGAAAAGAACAAAACGCCAAAGATTCCCTGGTGTATAATAATAATTGTTTGCATACACATATATATATATATATATGTATTTATTTATGTATGTTATGATTATGTGAGAATTTATTATATATGTAGATATATTTATACACATGTATGACCGCATGTTGCATGCGCGAGTATGTATGTATGTGTGTTAACTGCAGGAGAAACGCTATCAACGAAGTGGGTATTAAGGAATTATCAGGCAAGAATGGCAGTAATTGTTTGAACTATAATTGGTGCTATTATCAATTGACAAATGAATGGAAGGGAGAATAATGAACACACCGTGCCGAGGCGAGTCGAGTTGAGTCAAGCGAACAATTGTTGATTGTTGTACGCTACAACAATGAATAACTTTTGATTTTTATAAGCACCTAACTTTCAATTGTTGTTCATACAAAACTACATGCATACATACATATATACATATGTATTTAGAAGTATGATTATGTTTTCTTATATGTATGTATGCATGTGTGTACATACGAGGCTCGCTCAATTTACTCGTATTGCGCACTAATATTATTTATATTATTTATAAATTATGGTTTTCGAACTTCAAATTTTTATCTATAACTAACTAGTTGACCCCGCGTTGTCCTGTGTGAAATTATATTTTGAAAAAAAAAGAAGAAAGTTGAACTTACATTGTATTGGACTGAGATTGAGAAACAACATATTTAGTTCTCCGTGCACAGAAAAGCTGGTTTTGCAACTCGTGAACACTCCACGTATAGCTGGCATGGAATTCCCAGACCAGCGACTGCCCTTGGAACACCTATTTATTGTCATCGCAAATGCAAATTTCCTTTCAAGCTGAATACGTTTGAAGTGAATTAGCAAATCGTTGGAACTCAACGGAATTTTTGGATTCAAGCATTCTGACCAAATGCGCTAAAAGTTTGTCTTTGACAGTTTTTCGATTGATTGACTCAGTATGTTGTGAGCGCTCGTCAAAGATGGACACCAACAAAGAGAAAATTCGCTAAATTTTACAATTTTTCTTCGATCAAGTCTGCTGAAAAAATTCATTTAGTTTATGGGCCCGATACAGTAAACGAACGTGTGGCTCAAAAGTGGTTTGCTAGGAGACCTGTCTTCGGAAAATTGCAATAAAATCAGGGGAATAGTCCAGACGGTGGCCAAGACCGGATTGACGGCCAGGAGGGTTTTGCCGTGTGTTTGGTGGGAATGGCAAGGAATCATCTACTACGAGCTGCTTCCCTATAGCCAACCGCTCAATTCGGCCCTCTACTGCTAACAAATGGACCACTTGAAGAGGCCATCTTTGATCAACTGAGGCCGTTTTGTGTTCCATCAGTACAGCGCCAGGCCACACACGTCTTTGATGATCCACCAGAAGCTCCAATAGATCGGATGGGAGGTCCTAATGCATCCACCTTATACTCCGGACATGCCACCAGGTGATTACCATCTTTTCCTGTACATGGCTAACGCGCTTAATAGTGAGAAGTTGGCCTCAAGAGAGGCCTGTAAAAATTGACTCTCCGAGCTTTTTGCCAATAGGCAATAGGGAGCCTTCTACGAGAGAGGTATAGTGAAGTTGGCATCTCGTTGGCAACAAGTTTACGAACAAGACGGCGCATATTTGACTTAAAAAACTTAATATTTTTATTTGACTAGAATTCTTTCCCTTTGGAAGATTGCCCGGTATCGATCTGTTCAAAAAATCGTATATGTGTAAATGGCTAGATTTATTTGAAATCTATTTTATACATACATATATATACTGTTTTCCAATAAGAGATGTTATTTTGATAATTAAAGGAAAGTGACATTTTTTGATATAAATGATCGGATGTTTATTTCAATATAAAGACGAAGATATGCCATTCATAATGGCAAACAATATTAGCCAAATGATCGCTACGCTTACAGGACCGTATCCTTCTATATTATGAAATTTCCCATCCCCAAATCCCAAAGGGGCTGCCTTACGCCCTCAATAGTTTCATGAATTCCATCTTTGAGGTATTGAGTCGACGTTGGTCTGTTGGCGTAGACCTTAACTTTCACGTGGCACCAAAAGAAAAAGTCAAAAGGTAGCCAATTGCTATCACCTCTTCCAAAGATAACACGGTCCGGAAACTTTTCCCTTGAAATAACGATGGTTCTATTGGTTGTGTGGCATGTTGCGCCGTCTTGCTGAAACTAAACGTTGCCCAATGCCATCCAATTCCGGCCAAAAAAAATTCAAATCAGCTCTCGATAGCGGAAACCATAAATTTTCGTAAAAGTAAGATCCCTGTCGGACCATAAACCGCACCAAACAGATAAGCGTTGAGGACGGAGAGGCTTTTTCAACAATAAATTTTGGGTTTTTCAAGCTCTAGATGCGAAAGTTTGGTTTATTGACGTAGCCTTTGAGGTGGAAATGGACCTCATCAGTCGAGATGATTTTCGATGAAACTTTTATAGTCAATTTCAATACTTTCAATGCGTTGTTGAAGCGTCTATCGTGCCATTTTATTAATACTGGCGTAGATTTTACTTCGAACGCCAAAAAAATAACACCGTCGAAAGTGACATCTACCGGCATAGCAGGCTATTCAAAGCAACATCACTTATTGGAAAATCCTTTATAATTGGAGGATTGACATTTTCTGTCGGGGGCGAGCGCAATAAGCAAATATTAATGTTGAATGTGGATCGAACCCGGACTCGAACCCTGGCTTTTCGAATGTTAGTACGATCGCTGGTATTTGGGTGGGGCTTCTTTTGCTAAATTATTTTTTCTTTCGATAAATGAATTTAAAATCAAAACGTTCAAGAATATTAGTCATAGTTAGATTTGCTTGAAATAATTTTCTCTCCAGGCAGTGGAACAGGGACCGTGAGTCAATAACCCTTAAACGAGAAGTGGTGAGTAATTTGCGATTGATGGAGACACACCAACATATTCGGTTTAAGGCTTTACTAGATAGAGTCTTTCTATAGCGTCTTCAAGCGGTTCGCTATACAAATATTTTATAATTCTGCTTACTCTTGAAGAAATCAGCTTCAGTGAACGCAACCGAGCATGCTCATGTAAGAATTAATGGCGGGAATGCCTTCGAAAACATGAAAAGGAACTGAATCTCCGCCGCTATGCCTGAATAAAACTTATACGCCTATGTGAACTAACAAAAGCTCAATCAGGATTATAAAGAACCCTCCGAGCCGCTCGAGTTTTTAGACAAGGTGACTCAGTTTCATGTAACTCCTGCAACCACCATTTGCAAAAAGCTATAAAAGCTGAATAGATGGGATACAATCTCGTCCAAGAGGTTGAAATTACTGCTATCGTACGACGAAGAGATTACTAACAGTATTGATAGCAACAAGCGCACTGTTAGCCCAGCTTTCTTCGTACTGGATTGGGAAGCGAAGCGTATGGGTCTGGAAGTAAACGTGGACGAGATGAAATATATCCTTGCATCAAACAAGCTGTCATCCCTTTCGTGCCTTGGTTCCCACGCCATTGCTAAAAGTTACAAATTTGAAATTGGTGATAATGTCGGTAATTCTGGAATCAGCATAAACACCACACAAACACAGAACCCGTCTTGCAAAAAAAATTGCTAATTTGAATTGAGAAGGAACGTCCTCTCTTGACAAACAAAGACCAACTCTATGAGCAGAAGCGCGGACGATGAGGAAAGAAGAAGGAAGTCGGAGCTTAGAGTTCTAAGAAGAAAAGTTTTGTGAACGATTAAGGCGCCTTTACGAATTGGCAATGACGAATACCAAAGACGTTGAAACGATGAGCCGTACGATATAGCTAAGAAAGATAGACATTAGCTAGGCTTGCTAGGTCATGTCATTCGTAAGGGTAACGACTCTCAGATTCTGGAAGTTTCGGATGCGAAACCCGCCGCTGGATGCCTTTTACTTGGTTGGAAAGATTAGGTGGAGCGGGCCGGCCTTCACATAGTATCGCCAACTAGAGCCATAGGGTGTAAAAAAGAAACGAAAGAAGCTAAGACTCGCGGGTACTTATTGACCGTTGCTCGTATGAATATGCATACCATATATTATATATTTATAAACTGTAAACTAATGCCCATATACATATGCATACTCGTATGTATATGTGTGCATAGAGATATGTAGGTGCTCCTCTGTAGGTAAGCGATTGTATTGACTTGACAGTTCATTGCTTTTAGAAAGGTTAATGCCGAGCCAATACATTTTATTGATAAGACGGAGCTCCACTTCATAATGTATACTAGTAATACTTGTGTGTATATATGTATGTGTGTATATCATAACTAATAAAACACAAAATGCCGCCAATTTCCGTTGTCCCCCCCACAGCGTATTTTAAGTTGACTTTTTAATCATTTGTTTTCCTCTCTCCTCTTACCTCTTGCAGTGCGCTACACATGAAAGAACATCCAGACTATAAATACCGTCCGCGTCGTAAACCAAAAACACTCAACAAATCCCCAGTGCCTGGCTCTGCCACAAACGGCTCAACGAAGGAGTCCCAACATCTCGGAGCATCGGCCGCCGCTGCCGCAGCTGCTGCTGCTGCTGTCGCCGTAGCCGTACAACATCCACATCATGCCCATCTACACCAACAGCATTCGCCCACCAGTCATCATCACATCGCCGCGGCGGCCAAGTATGGCTTTGGTGCAACACCGCTCGAGTTGACTTTGAATATGCCAACCAGACATCTGCCAGGCGCTTTTCCAACAGCGACGGCACTAACGCATTACCCACTCGATCCGACCATAGCACTGGATTTGCAGGCTCGTCTGCAAGCCATGTATGCCGGCACTCTCTATCACCCGTGGCGCTATTTTGGCTGTCCACCGCTTATAAGTCCCGAGACACCGCCTTCGCCGCCCAGTAGCAACGGTACGGGTAGCATTGCCTCCTCCTTTGGTTGTGGCATAAAATCGGCCAAATCATCACCCACACTGCCAATGTCGACGAGCACACAAGCGCCGCCGAATATCATTTGACCAACTCCTTTAAGATTTGGCGGCAATTCTGTGAGTAATGCCACCATTGCGGTGATGGCGGAACCGGCTATGTAGGCTTCTGTAGGCGCTAATTGTGTAAAATGATAGCATAAGCATTTCAATTATGTTCGGTTTGAGTATACTGTATTATATGTATGTATGTGGGTATACATTAATTGCAATTATTCTAAATAATTTAGCTGAGAAAGTGTGGACAATTTTATGCACTAAGACTTCACATAATCATTTAAACAATATGTATGTATGTATGTATATTTATGTATAATGTGTTTGTATATAAATTATTTTATTTGAAAAAAAATGGGTATCAAACTATTTTTCAAACTTAATTTTTCTGAGAAAAAATTTATAAAATGGAAAGTTTCAGTACATATGTATGTACAAATGTACCTATGTATATGCGGTACACATATACTTCTAAATTATTATTATTATTGAAACATTTTGTTAGCTAAAATCTATTTTCCAAAAAAATACTTAAATACAAAATTTTATTTGTAAAATAAAACTCTTAGATCAAGTAAATTATTAAGCTAAATAAAAATAAATATAAAAAATAAATAATATTTCAATTTCATTTATACACGGAAACTGGAGACGAGAATTAACAAAATAATGAAAGAATCTAGTCAGAATTCAGAATTCTTTAGGAATTTGAAAAATTAAGTTTAGGTTTCAAAAATATTGGTATAGAAATAGTTAGAGTTATCCGTTTTAAGTTTGCTTGATATCTTTTTGCCATTTGAAGGTAATGTCCTTACAGCTCTTTCATAGTAAGCCCTGCTCCTATTGGCAAAAAATTGAGACAATCAATTTTCACACTCTTCGTTTCAGGCCAAATTTTCACCAGCTAAATCATTCGCCATAGACATAAATGGATGGTAAGCACTTTGTGCGAGGTCCGTACTATAAGGTGGGTGCATAAGAGTCCACCAACCAAGCTCTCAGCACATCTGTCACTTAATGAGTGGCGTTATTCTGATGAAAAACACAATTCCCCTCCTGTTAGCTAATGCTGGGCGCTTCTAGATGACCGCTTCCTTCAAACGATCCAGTTGTTGACAGTAGAGGTCCGAATTAAATGTTTGGCCGTAAGGAAGCAGTTCATAATGGATGATTCCTTGCTACTCCCACCAAAAACAAAGCAAAACCCTCCTGACCGTCAGTTAATCCTGGTTTGGTACCATGACGCTTATCTTTTGACGTTGCTGTAAGTGATCCGCTTTTCATCATCAGTCACCAATCGTTTTGAAAATAGATTGATTTTCATATAATTCAGCAGTGTTTCGCAGATGTTCTTGAGATTATTTCTAGTTCACAACTGATGTGGTACCTATACATTGAGCTTTTAGGTTTATACAGCCTTTTTTAAGTGGTTCCAACCTACTTTTTGTGCAATTTTTATTACCTGGGCTGTGGAAAAAGTGCTCGCATTGAATTTATTGACATTCTTGACAATTGGCCTCCCACAGCTACGAGTGTCTTTTACATCAATGTTATCGGAAGGAAATGAACGAAACCAAAATTGTGTGGGATTGACTGTTACAGTACTGTGTATCAGATCCATAAAGACTATTTACATTTTCAGCTGCCTGATTTCCGTTTTGCCTTTATCAAAGAAAATTTTTACAATACGGCGTATATTCTCTTTGCTGGTGTTCACCTTTGTCATGCGCTCAAACACTAAGGAGATAATTGATCAACACTTCACCTTCAATCGTATTTGGAAAAAATTATGATCTTTCTAACACCATCTAGCGTAAGCCTATCGCACTTATAAAAAGCGAGATACAGATCACGAAAGCCATCAATGGATTTCTTTTCAGCGTAGGAAGCTCCTTCCACTCTTCCATTCCATACTAAGCTTAACAATCACTTTTCCGAGGGAAAGCTCGGTTATGATCCCAGCGTATAAAGCATAATAAAGTGTATGAGATTCACAGAATGGATCGTTTCGATAGCGATAAAATTTGGAAAAACAAGTCTGAGGATATGTCATCAGTTAATTTTCGATGAATTCGGAAAGAGTTACCACTATCGAACATTATACTTTTGCGATTAGCAGAAAATCGTTCCCCTAATTAATTCGTTTAGAACTGATTGTTGTTGAGGACAGTAGGCATTCAAATAAAGAGTTTGACTGGCAGTATAGTAGATCAACTATTTACAATGCCATTCATAAATTTCGAAAAACACCCTATGCCACTATCTCTACTAAAGCTAATTTAGGATTGGCTTCTCCGAGTCGGTCGTTACCTAACGATTCTCCATGATTCTTCAAAGCAATGTTGGATGAAACAATAAAAGCTGAAGGTGAAGTTTAAATCTGCGAGTTTGGTTGGTTGGTTTTTAAGCAAGAACTCTGAGCTCAGTCTGGATAATAAAGGCTTTCTTTATAACGCAACCATTAAACCGATATAAATGTATGGAATCCAGCCATGGCAATGAAAATATCCTCATGGACGTAAACATAGGCACTATCAAAGGAGAGGTATTAATAATCACATCGCAACGATCCGAACTCTTTTGCCAACACCGGAACTTCGGCAGCTGAAAAGTAGAGGCAAATAGAGAAGGTATAATCTCCTGCTCCCAGTCCACCTCTTTAATTTTAACCATGAAACCGTTGATAGTTTTGTCTATCTGGGAGCCAACATAAGTTCCAATAACTTTCTCAGCCTGACAAACCAACCCTGAGTTACTCTGACCAACGGTAAAGGTAAGGGTAGAAAAGAAATGGGGTGAGGTAAGTATATTTTTCAGAGAGTAGTAAGTGGATTTAAAAACATTTCACTTTCAAGGTTTTGACACATGACTACATATGCACGAGTATATATAGATTGTCCCCAAATAAATGCAAGATTGGAATTCAATGGAAAACACACTTTTTAATGTTTCCATTTTTATCGAATCATAAATCACACCGGGGAAAATGACCTCCACGGCTTTCCGTAGACTATTCTACATAAATGAAGATGAATTTCATTGATACAACGTTGAATCTCCACCATTCAAGCTCGCTTGGTTGAGGGCTTTTTGGAATAGTCATGTGGTTTTACATAACCCAACAAAAAAGAGATCTAATGGCTTTACATCACAAGATCTAGATCCCCAAAATTATAGAAAGTACGACCTGAAACTATCTCATGCAGTCATTGAAGTTTTTCATGTGGCATGTAAGACATTTGGCACCAACTTGCTACTCAATTGTCATACCTCGTACTTATCTCACAAGAACGTCAAACGATAACGGTCGTGGTCGAACGACAGTGAGTCGGTTCAATGGTCTCTAAACCAGGATGAACGGCCAGGAAGTTTTTTGTGAGTGCCTGGCTTCTTTAACCTATAGATCCATTTCTGAAATCAGTCTTCAAAATTTTTGGAAATAACCGGAATTCAAAAGATGCCATATCCGAGGAATATGGTGGTGGACGTATTTCTGTAATCCAAGCGATTGAAAATTACTCGTTATTACAGCGCTGTGGGATGTGGCGTTGTCATGATGTATAAAATAGCGCCGCAAATCATCTTTCTTCCTGCTTTCAAGCAAATTTATGAAAACTTTTCGTAAGACCTCTTCGGTGTACCATTTTGCAGTTATCGTCTGACTCGAGCCTCATCTAGGGCCCCATTTAAAATCCGTGGCATCCATCGAGGAGATTTCTTGGTGCATCCCAGATGTTACGTAATATTCACGATGCATCCATGGCATTCAAGCCCAATACATTCGTGGGTCTTCGTCAATTTTGGACTTTAGCAGAGCTACAGTGACGTCATCAGTGGAAGATTTTGGTCGACCTTCTCGGGCCTCGTCTTCTGCTGAAAAATGCCCGGTCTACAATCTTTCGAATTACTTACACTTGGTGGTGTAATTCCGTCTGATCTATCCTCAGCAATCTTCCGTTTTCTCGTCTCCATTTTAGTCGATCGTTCTGAAATTTGAAATGAAGTAATTCCAAGGGATTTGGTATTTTTAGATTTAACAAAAACAAATTGAAATTGAATCCACTCGTACAGCAAAGGCATCCGTAAAAAATACAAAAATTAAATTTTATTTAAAATTCAAAATATTTATTTCATTAAATCGCATTGCTTATCATATCCTTGGAACAAGAAAAAGCATAGAAGGAGAAACGAAGTCTGAGCAACCTCACTGCCAAAAATAGTTGTACAAGCAGCAGTCACGCCTGATTAATTACAACACTTGCTTACCGCTGACAATAACACGAGCTCGAACATATTTATTAAGCTTCCACTGTCTGTTGGCGAGGCGAATGAATACGGCAGCTGTCAAATCAGTGTTGCCAATTGCATGGAGATAACAAATTAAGCAGGCAGCGTAAATAAACAACCCCCCAAATAAAATACAATACAACTTTTGCTACCCTTGCAGATGCTCGACGTTTGCGTAAATTTGTGTGTGTGTGTGTGTGTGTGTGTGTGTGTATGTGTTTGCGGCATCTAGTGTGAATACAAATGAGTGCCGGGTTTTGTAGTGAAAAAAAGTGTGAAAAATCACAACATTGTTTGTTGATGCGTTGATTATTAGGTTAAATTGCAGCAGAAGACAGACTAAAAAGGGGATAAACGCCGCCTGTTGCGGGCGAAGCAGAATTTTTCTTTGCATAAGCGTGGGCGTGGGCGTGGGCGCGTAACAAATTGAATATAAACGCCCACTTATGTACGCACTCGACTGTGGAATTATGAAGCGAGTGATTGTGTTGTTGTGTTTTTTTTTTTCTTTCTTCCCAACACAAAATATTGCCGAGTGCATGTGGAAGGGGTGTGGAAAGGTGTGAGGTGACAAGTGCAATGAATTCATTGGCATTTGTTTTGGTAGTAATTTTAGATCCGAATCGGAAATGCTTAAATAAGGAAACAAAAGGCAAATACACTATTCGTGTAGAAGATGAAATCCTTTAAATTTGAGTAGGCAAGTGTTATTCATTGTCAAAGGATTACTTAGCAAGCGATAATGAATTCATTCATATGTGTATATATATGTATGTAGAGATATATTTAAGTGCTCACTATTTCTATTGTTTAATTAATATTAGATAATTTTAATTATGAAAGCTGATTGTGAAATGGCTTTATCACCAAGAATAATCTTCAATTGTTATTGTGTAAATGTAGAGGCAGTGAAAGTGTGTACATTTGAAAGCGATAAAAGTGATAAAAGTGAAAAATACCAGTTTTTTTTATTTTTATTTT